TGTAATATATATTCTTTATTATATAAATGTATCAAAAAAATGCATTCCTCTCCCCTTGTACGTCTCCTGAATAGTTTTACACAATTTTTATAGACCTGGCGTTCGATTTTGCCCTATTTTGAAAAATTTTCTCCTAATTCTTACCATATATTCGTACAAGTGCTTATTTTATTTGAAAGATATCACGAATGTACTTCCTCAACCTACTTCTTCACCACAGCCTACTCAACTTGTTGTAGGATCTAATAAGGCAGGAATGATAGGAGGATCTTTGATTGGAGTAATAGGTAAAAAGACTTAAGCAAACAACTGATCAGATAATGGCTTAAGAATTTTCTCGAAGCGTTGGAAATACGCTATATGTATATGTATATATATATATGTATATATATGTATATGTATATATATATGTATATATGGGAGAATGTCTCAATGTAAGAAATTCATGCAATATGGCATAGCAGCGGACAAAAACATTAGCAGTTTTTGCACTCAAATTAGCGTTGAAAATGAAATATCAGAAATATTCTGCTTCCTTGGTTTTCTATTGACTACCCATAATCTTGGGCACTTGATATTATAATATCCCAGAAACCGATTTCTCGTAAACGTCAGGGGATTTTATCTATTAAGTCGACTATAATTACTTAGAATTAGAACAATTAGCTTGTCACATTCTACTCTCCAAGCGTATTGAGATGAAAAAATTAATTCGTTTTAGAATTAATGTAGCTTTGAGCAGATAATACATTTTCTTTCGAAAAATTTAATCGCTTAAAACTTTGTGTGGCAAATAAATGGTACACATTCGGCAATAAGTCAAATGCACTTTTTGTAATATTTCCGAATCCAGTGTTAAATTCTTCTCAATTAGCAGGAAAAATGATTTCATTAGATTATTAGATTTCATTATATAAGATAAAAAATTGAATTATTGAGAACGAATATGCGCTTATTCTCGAAAGTCGCACAATACATGCAAAATTCTTGATAATTCTATACGCTTATTCTCTAAAGGCCTACAATACATGTAAAGAAATTTATTCAAACATTCTCAGTTGTATGGAATTTGTATTTTCTCAGATGGTACGGAAATTATTGAGTACGAATGTATACACATTAATCTCGCATCGATGAGGCTTTTTTTACAAAGGCCTGTTGAATGTTTGAGAACGAATATACGATTATTCTCTAAAGGCCTACAAACATGCAAAATTCTTGATAATTGTATACGCTTATTCTCAAAGGGGCACAGCAAGGGTGAGTAAAGTAAATACTCACAACCACGCGTTGCAATGTTTGATGTAATTGTAGAAAATGAAATGACAGAAGCCAAGCAAAAACGTTTGGAGGCTCAATTTGCAAATTTACAAATTGTTCCAAATGTTGAGAAATTGGGTACTGCTAAGGTAAAAGCTTTGAAAATGAATTTTTGCTTAAAACTATTTAAATACATTATGATTTCTTATTCTCAGCAAGCTATGATTGCACGTAAAGGTGATTTATTGACACGCGAACGCCTCTGCTGCGGACTTAGTATTTTCGAAGTTATACTCAATCGAATTAAAAGTTATTTGGACGATCCCGTCTGGACTGGACCATCGCCAGCTAATGGCATTATTCATGTTGATGAATGTTCAGAATTTCGTCGTCTATGCTCGGCTTTGCAATTTGTTTATTGTATACCGGTAACAGGCACTGAGTATACCATAGAAGAACTTTTCGGTGAAGGCTTCATCAAGTAGCACATGCTTAAAATGATTGGGTGGAAAACGCATTTGCAAAAAATTGCCAAGTGTAGCACAAGTACCAATCGTTACTCGATGGCGCCCTAAATACTCCATTTGACTTTTCATTTTGAGTCCGGACTTGGCCGTAATCATCTCATCTTCCCAATTGTAATTTAGGCCAGTATCCCAGTATTTGTTGCCTGTTGCGCAATATGTCATCAAATGCTCTGGTACAAATCCTTTTTTGAGCTCCTTGTGGGATCCTAGACGTATAAGCTCATACATTCTGAGTACGCCGATCAATTGCGTCGTTATTACATCAGCAGAATTGTTAGCCCTACGGGGCTAAAGTTTACTGTGATAAAAAATGTAGATGGTGAATTAAGCCCACCTACTATTCCTCCTAGGACTAATCAACACCATCTTCTACACCAACTTTAGATAACAATTTGTAATGATCGTGGCCAAATGAATGAATTCATGAGCACTAGCAGTTTAATGCTACCAAATACAAGCAGTATTATGATTAGGCGAAATTCAGCTATCGAAAAGCGTGCGGCAAATGTTAACGAAGCTTCAGCAATATCTTCAAAAGTTCAGCATTATTATTTATCCGCAACAACGCCTCAGCTTTGTCATCTGAATATGGGCACGAATGTTTGTTATGCTAGTGAAACAATATCTCCATCTTTAAGCTCATCAACAACCACTTCCCCTATGAGCCTCATGACCCAAATAACGCCGCACATTCCTTCTAATTACCATAAATGTGATATTGGACAACTTAGCACTCCATTAATGTATTAGAAGTTGGAAAACCAGATCCTGAAGATTTGCAACGTACACGGGGAGATGCGACACATTGTATGCTGAAGGTTTCGTATTAAATTCATTGTTAAAATTAAGTGAATTGGAGAAAAATCTACAATAGGAAGAAGAAATGGAGAGGATTTATGCACTGTCCGGGATATGAATAGGTTATTATTTAGATGCAGACATGATCGAAGACTACTAATTGTAAGAGCTTACCTGAGATTCAGGTTGGAATATTGGCCAATATGTGCGACCCCAAGAAAGCAAGAGATGAACTATGTTTGCAAGAATCACAACTGCTGGAAGTGTTTATCGGGTTGCCTTCGGGATCCTTTAAAATTACAACAGCTTATGCGATTGTGGGCTGCAATATTTGTTAAAAGTGCTACAGAGCAAATTGAGTAGTAGTATAACTTGGTCTGCAAAGATGGTCAATTCATAGAGAATATTTGTTTTATTCTGAACAACGCCATTAATCATAAGGTATTATTGCAAACGTTGGAGACTTTGAATGCAGCGCTTGCAAAATTCGCTTTGTTAGACAATCCGGCCAAAAGTTTTACGGAACTTTTCATAAAATCTGAAGTTGTGAGTGCTACTATGGAAGCATTTAATACAATTTTAACTGACAATGCCGGGCAAGAAAACGATACCGACGCATTGGAGGAAAAGGAAGTAAAAATAAAGCAAACCTTTGCAATAGATCTATTTTGGATGGGAACACTTTGTATTGTATTGTATTTGTTTGGTGTCGTAATCGACCAATGGACCAATTTAGATGATATTCTAACAGAACCAGACAGGAGCAAATAAATTAAATAAATTAACTTTACTTTGCAGAACTCATACTGGCGAAAAATCTTATCAATGTGCTTTATGTCCTTGGAAATTTAATCAGTCTTCATCTTCAACCAGACATTTAAATAAGCTTACGAAGAGGTAAGAAGAGTCAACTAGATGTTCAAATCTAAAATCCAAATAATACTTTTAGCAAACCATCGGAATCTTCACAGCGAACTCAAACAAAAGAAGAAGTAAAATATATATTTATTATATATATTAAATGATATAAATTATATATATATTAAATGAGTGACCACTTGTTTGAATGTAAATATTGAAAATATTACTATCTAAGCACCGGTCTTCCTCTTGCTGGTCATATTTTACAGGGCATCAGATATACTAAACTAAAATAAACAAATTTTATAGCAAAGAAATGAAATCATTTTTCAATAAATTTGATTTCAATAAATTTTGCATTTTCATTGCATTTTCAAATCTCAAGCGCAGTAGACCTTTTTTGGAGGCTAGCGCTTTAAGAGAAGAGAAATTATTCTCTAGCAAAATTAATAATAATTTTACGAGTTAGCCTAAAATTAGATTGCAATAATTTTTATTATCAAATTAAACAACGCAATAAATTTTATTGTCAAATTAAACAAAGTCCTCGCTAAATTCCCTGTTGAAAGGCAAACCACAGAGTCGCTTTTAATAAATAAATGCTTAAATGCCCACCTTAACAACCTAAATGTTAACGTCAATCACCTATGTTAAATACCCAACATAATCGACAAAACGGATTCAATTCTGTTAAAATGCAAAGCCGTCGGCAAACCAAAGGAAAACTTTGGGATATTTAGCAACTAATGCGTGTTATATCATTCATCATATTCATCATATAATTGATACGACTTTTCAGCTCATAAACAGTTTTGAAATGTATTTTCTATGTACGCTTAGTCGGCTCCACTCAAGTTTTAGCAAGTAAAGAGTTGTGGGTATTTTAGTTGCGCCGTTTACACGTTCACGGCTCATAGAACATTATGTCATAGGCGATTTGCATCAGGATTGTAGCGAAGACTACATTCCATTGGGGTTTTATTCCAATTTAAGTATTTATAAATTTATTTTACATTTAAATTTAGAACGGGGAGTCGATTGAGCGTTTGATTTGTTATAAATTTTTCATTTTGCAATGCCGACGGCAATTTTCATTTTGCAATGAATATGTTTAACAGATTTAACAGATTTCTTGAATTATAAAGCTACTTTAACAGATTTCCTGAATTATAAAGCTACTTTAACAGATTTCCTGACTTATAAAGCTACTTTAACAGATTTCCTGACTTATAAAGCTACTTTAACATATTTCCTGACTTATAAAGCTGCATTTAAAAGATTTCCTGACTTATAACGCTGGCGGTTTTGCAAATTACGATAGAGTTTCACGTTCGTTCTGCAAATAGCAAAGAATTTAGCTACTGTTTTGTTTCATTTGATAAAAAAAAAAAATTATGGCGGTCTACTTTTAGGCTTACTTAACAGAAAACAAAGGTCGAACTGTTAAATGCAAAGACGTCGGCAAAACAAAGGAAAAGTAGAGAAAGGTAAGTAGTGAAAGTGAAAACTTTAGGATATTTAGTATCTAATGTTTATTTATTTTTTATTAATAAATGTATGCTTGCATATAAAATTTCTTAATTTGTTCAATTTTACAATTCAATTTTTCAATTTTATCATTAACATTGTGAACGTTCAAAATATTGCTCCAGCAAATTTGAGAGTAGCCAAGCATAAATCTCACATGCATATTGAAAAAGAATACTTATTTCGAACTTAATACTGAAAAAGAATACTTATTTCGAACTTAATACTGGAAAAGAATACTTATTTCGAATTTAATACTGCAAAATAATACTCATTTCGAACTTAATACTGGAAAAGGATAAATTTTTACGTCTTCAATACAAAGAAAATTTCCTATTGCTAAACCAATACTATGACTACGCCTTGAAAGACACAAATCAAATACCAATTCCAGACATTAAATATTAAATTACTTGTGCATTTTTTCTCAAAATATTCCACGATGTTGATTGAGCGATACCAATTAACTGACTTGTTCAACAACTCTGTGTTAAAGCAGAGACTATTGGAATGAAACACGCTTTTGCATCGGATATGTGATACGTTTTGATAAACAAATTATATGTATATATAAATTATGTATGCATTATTTTCGAGTAGCTGATCAACTGCCAAACTAGTAGGAAAATGGTAAACAATTATACAAATAAATGTAAAGAGCAAGACAAACAAATGGTCCAATTATACATTCGAACTAAGGGAATTGGCTTCTGCAAGCAAATTTTTGTAGAGAAAAGCAAAAATCTTTTTGTTTTGGATTATAGGAATAACTTTGTTATTTGCGCATACTTATTCGTGAACATTTCTAGGCTGAGTAAATTGAAATGTATTCCACATCAATTCACTATTCCCAATAGCAACACTGACTATCGAACGTTGTTGTCACAGCAGTCTAAGAAATCCACCTTGAGGAGAGAGGTGAATTGGAACTCCGTTTTGTGTACTGAGCAAGAGCGCACATTAGCAATGAAAAACTTTTTGCGGCAAAACGCCAGCCAGCGGATTTTCGTGGTGGTTAGAAAAAAGTTAAAATAATTTAAGGCAGTTTAAAAATAAATATTAAGAAATCTAGATATGAGGAATTTAATGTAAATTTTAACGTATTAAAATCTCAATAAATTGTGTATAGGAATAAAATTTTTAGTTCCAAAGCATTCGAAATTTTGTATAAAACCAAAACAAATGTTTTTTTGTTGGCTGTTATTGATTGAAAAAGGAAAAAATCGAAAACAAATCGACAAAAATCGTTAGCGAAAAGTTATGAAAAAAACCGGTAACGAATTTCAGAGAGAAATCAAAGCATATGACAAGTGTGTTCAACAATTTTAAAAACTACCAGGTGGTAAATTTTTGGATTTTCTTACAAAACTACCACTATATGATTTTTAATCCAAATTAGGCGAGAGTACATTTGAGAGTAAAATTTGCTTGGCTGAGTGTTTTTATGGTTTGAGAGTTTGATATACTGACCTCCAAAAAAGTATAGCGCGCAACCAAAAAGTATAGCGCGCAACCAAAAAAGTATAGCGCGCAACCAAAATAATAAATGTTTAATGAGAGAAAGAAACACACAGAGGACACAACAAACAGCAAAGCATACACAAACAATCAAATAAATACAATTGCACAAAAATCCAAACAAAAAAGGAATTATAAGTTAAAAAAACTTTTAAGCAAAAGAAGAACCAATATTTTGTTATCTAAGCAGCAGAAGAAGCAACAAAAATTCCCTTTTTGATCAGAACGTAGTACAGACTGTTATATATTAAATGTTAGGTTTCAGAAATTTGAAACTCAAATATTTGTTATTTCCCGTCAGATGGAATTAGGTAAGCTACTTAACAAGCTTAATACATTTCATCTACTAATTAAAAATGATAAAATTTCATGAAAGGCACAGCACGTGATTGCAGTATCGTACACCCCCCTAGTGAACGCCAAGTGATAAAAATATCCCAAAAGATTTCGAAAAGGGTGATAATATGGAAAACATTTGGTCTGAGATTGGTAGCTACGCAGCTATTATTTTTGTTGTTGTGTTCATATTTGGATTTACAAAACTTGCTTATGATAAAGTATCTAAGCAGCCTTTGACACAAGTAGCTATCGGAAAACGACATAGATAAGAAAATACTTCTGAATCTCTGATTTGTAACCACGACTTCAAATTTAATTCTGGTTTAAATAAAGATGATCACGTTAGTTTTACGATAATACGCGCTAAATTAGGATTGATTAAATTTCTAACTGTGCCACTCGCCAAATCTTCGATATGTATGGTAAAGTTATGTCTCCATAACAAATTACAAACCGTTGTGAAGTGTGTCACATACGTTTTTGAAAACGAAGAGATTTTGCTAATGATTTTAGAATCCGGTTATCCAATTTTAGTATTAGAAATTTTAATTCAAAAGCTTATCTGCACTCGGGCACTAATATAATTATATGCGAGATTTATGAGAACCAAGCATACGATAATGTTAATACTTTCAGAGGATAAATACTTAATATCATCCAGATTATTTGCGATATTAGGTTGAGAGTGGCAATCAAAGTTTTATAGTTTATGAAAATAATATGTTATAGTAAACGTTCTGATTTTCTTCAAATTTATTTAAATTATTCTTATTCATAGTTTTGTTTGAAGGAGACACCTTAGTTTTATTGGCAAAATTTTAATTTATTTTAAGCGATTTTGTGTAATGACTCTTGGAAAACTACAGGAGTTCCGCATTTGATTCCTTATGTAACAGAAACAGGTACTTTTGACTGTGATGATGATTATTCCCCGATTATGTTATTAATTCATAGTTGTTAAGTGAAGCCAGTACAGCTTTTGAAAAATGATTTGTTTCCAAAAATATATATATGTAGAAAATATACAAAGAGTGAGTATGTCTACGACAAGAGGTGACTAAGCGTTTTCACACAGGTTTTTCAATCACAGTTACACACTACCCATCCTTTAAGTTCAGCACTTTCTAACGAAGTAAATAAATAAAAAACGATACGAAGAAGATATGCGAGAAACTAATATGCCTAATCTAAACACATGCTACAAGCTACAAGCTAAATGACATATGTACTACCAACTACGCGTAAATGACTGTTTATTACATTTAAGATAAAATATATTCCCAAGCACTATAAAATATACGCTGAATATAAATTCTTTTAAGGACCTGGCAACACTTTAATATATAATAAACAATGAGAGGAGGAGAGTACAAGAGCGTGTCGCAAGTGTGTACTTACACGAAAATTCCAACTATTCTCCTCTTAATGTGTGGTGTTGTACGCGCAAAAACAAATTTTGGATTTTAAGCTGCGCAAATTATTGTAAAAAGAATTGAAATATTTTAAGTGAATTTTAGAAAATTGCAGAAAATTTTAAAATAAGGTGAGTGCGATACAAATAAATAAAGTACGTAAAAGAAAGTAACCCATGTGTTATAAAATACTGTTATTGATAATTTCGCCGCCTTTTGCGTTCGTAGTATTTTTGCTCAATGCGTAGCGGCCATTTTTTTCCACCATCGGTTCTTGTTTACACAAAAAAATCCTGGTCCCGTATGTAACACAATGCAGAAAAAAAGGCGTAATAGTGAAAAGTATGTTTAGGTAAAAAACTTCTTTGCTATCACTCCTGGCATTTGCGTATTTCATTATTTTGTATTTTTTCTACTACGAATTTTTGTCTCTACTGTGTTACCTCACCACCCTTCCCTCCCTACTTGGCTTTTCATTCACTATGTGCTATGCGCGATTGTTTCTTTCTAATCGTCTGTCGTTTCGTTTGCAGTTCATTCACATTTTATTTGAAATGTTTCTTTTTTTTTCGTATGGCGATGTAGTAATTGTGTGTATTGTTGTGTCGGTGCGCTGTGCAGGTGAAGTCTTCTCCACCTCTTCTCTGCGAATTTACACAACTTAAACATTCTTGTTGGCGAAAGTGAGACAACGTTTTTGACAGGGGAGCAATTTATAACTAAAGCAAATGAGAGCGGGGTAAAAGAGCATAAAAGCAACAAGACGGTACGAGTTGTTTTGCAGTGATTGAATCAAATGATTTTGGAAACGAATGCCATAGTTGGTGCAAGTGTGAGAAGAAAACAAAATACGAAAACATGTCTGATGATAGTAGCCGGTAAGTTTTAGCGTATATCAATCAGCGTTACGATGTGTGCTTGTCCAAATGATTGTATTGACAAACTTTACTTTATTTAGGTTATATAAAGCATTGCCAGATACAATTTTTTTAAATATTTTTCAAAATCTTGAAAAATTAACGTGATTTCTTATAACGTTTAATACGTTTAACGTCAATCTGTTGTAATTGTTGTTGTTAGATTATATTTTTCTTTTTAGTTCAAAATTCCATTCCCGATCAACTTTATCACCACCATGTTCCGTTAGTCAAGAATCTCAACGCCAAACGGATACACCCTCTCCGTCTAGCACATCAACACCTTTATCCACACCCAATTCGTTGCACTCTTCTAGCCTTCTTCATGATCATAGCTCTGGTGCTACTGTAGGCAAACATAAATCTGCCTTCTTACCGTATCGACCGCAAACTACTGTTCTCACGAATTTGCAACGCGGAAACACTGAGGCCACGTTTTGTCCAGTTGAAGTGAAACTTTCATTTCATGAGCGTGCTGGTCAGGGTGAAATCACAGAGGATCAAGTGGAATTTGAAAAACAACAAAATATCGACGCGAAAGATTATTTCGGTTTTACACCTCTGCACTGGGCTTGCTACTACGGACAGTTCGCAGCAGTGCAACTGTTAGTAGATGCGGGTGCCTCCGTCAATGCAGAAGCTCCAGAGATGGTAACTCCTCTATTGTTAGCCGCTTCCGGCGGTCATCATGAGGTGGTACGCTACTTATTGGAAAGAGGTGCTAATTCTTCACACATGGACGTTATCGGTAATACTGCCCTAATGTACGCAGTCGTCGGTAATCATCCACATACGTGTAATGAATTGCTGACAAAAGATCCAGACATGACGGCCACAAACGAGAATGGTGACACCGCTTATTCTCTTGCCGTAGAATATGGCGCCTTTTTGGCCCAAGCGGTACTAGAACAATACTTAACAGCTATATTGTCAGTGTAGTCAAAACGAAAAGGCTTTGGTATTAAGGTACGTAAACTTGTTCTAAATATATTATTTTAATTTTTTTATGATCTAACCTGAATTCTTATGTCAGTATAATTAAGTGAAATGTACTTACATCTATTGAATTAATAGTATATTTCATTTGTCCGTTTATAGTAAGTAAAAGCTTAGCAGACTTATTTCATTTAAGAAATTTATGTTCGACAATCAGAAAAGCTACCGGTTAAAGAAGGATTTATCTTTCCATAATGTATCCTTTTTCTTGATTCTTTGATGTTTCATTTCACTTGCAAATTTGTAATTCGCGTCTATCTCGCATTTTAACGGCTAAAGCAGAAAAATAAATCCTTGAATAGAAAAGGTTTTGTGCAACTAAATAATGTCTGCAGGTTTAACATCAACATAATCAACCATTTCAAAACGATTCGTTTTCTATTCTTATAATTTATTGCTAGTAAGGGAAAGTTCTTAGTTTAAGGGAACCCGATGATTTTATGGTATAGATATAATCTTGATATCAATGTCAAAAGCGCATCTTTCTCTCAATTGAATGGAGTCGATAGAAGATGCAAAGGTTCTTTTTTTTAAAGCTTGTTTTTGTAGGTTGGCTTGAAATAAAGAAATCATTTAAATAGGACTGGAATGAGGCGCGAAATGCAAGTTGGAATAATTGCAAATATAAGAGCAGGAAAAATACGGTCGGATAAAAAATTTCGATGCTTCAGAACATTGCGACGAAAAAATTCTTCATCACAAGCTCCTAAAAGTATATGCGTCTTGAAATGGATTATCTATTAATATATTCCAACTGCAAATATTAGAAATAATTTGATCGGTCGAGATATTTACAGAACGTTTGAATGGTTAACAAGGATTATGTCTACGAAGTTAAGCGTTTTCCTATTGTACGATTGATATCCATAGATACTAGTTTCCTTACTTATATTAGAATATACTATATTCCATAATAATAAAGTTTTGCATTGTATTTCATTTTTACTGCACTATGTATATAATAAAGTATATAGAGACTCTACTTAACCTTTGATAATGTTTGGAACACGTAACATTTTTGTGTAGATTTTTAGAATTAGAATCTGGCAGTGCCTTTTTAATTAAATAACGGAAGTTGTTAGATGTATAGGTATTCTTTGTAATCATTCTTTTCGGATAATTGACACAAAAATATGTGCGCAAAATTCTTACATGCTTGCCATATATTGAAGCATGGACATGGACATCGTAAATAATAACAGCTATAACTATGACGACAATGCATTGCAATGAATTGTAAGAATAAATTAAAAAAGGAACAATACAAATAATTTCTAAAGTATTACTTCCGTTCTTGAAGTTGAATCATGTCAACAAATGCACGCGCATATTTAACATAGGACTGTATTGTATCTATACGATGAGTTTTTAACTTAAAATTGTGCCTGCGTGTATTCTTTTTATGCGTTTCGCGGAGAGGAAGGGAGATATTTATGTATATGTATGAGCGCGTGCAATAAAGCGAAAGAGAAACACAAACTAGAAGAACTGAATTACTTTGCATATTAAAATTTGTGTTATACCGTTAATCAAAGTCAATGTTTTAATGGTTAACTTATAGGTAACAAAATGAAACGAAAAAAAACAAACACCAAATTTCATTCATTTAAAGGTGTTATGCAAACGTGTAGATATTCCCTTCTTCTTTTTTCTTTAGAGGACCTTTTTTTATTATAATTTATATATGTTTATTGTTGTCTGCGTACAAATTTTTTGAAACACTCCTCCACGCACACACACA